CACACACACACATATGCACACACATCTTCTCAAAGCCTATCATGTCTTGTATACTCAAGAAGTCATGCTACCGTAGAACCCTGCAGGGCCAATGACCTTCTCTCACTGGTGTTCCTACCAGGCATCGTGCAGAGCTTCTAGCCTGCCATCCAATCCCCCTTCCAACTGAACTATGCAGGGAAGCTGGAAACAAGCTGAATGGCCACTATTTCATGGGCAAGAACCATCCCCACAGATAGGTACACACACCCACAGAGTGGCTCCAGTCCCTGAAACCTAGATGGCTTTGCATTCTCAATCTCCTTAGGATTTCCAGAGAGCTCTTGGGCTTTCATGTAAGCAGAATTGTATTGGTCCCTCCCTGCTTACTCCACAGATAAGCCTAAACCTTGGAACAAGTATAAATTAGGCTAAGGAAAGAAAACGTGGTTTCAACTTCATACACACAGATTAATCACACACCTCACTCATGCTGATGGCCCATTATCAACACTGATTTTTGCAAGATCCTTTCTTATTTCTGTTTCCTCTTGGCCTATCTATTCCAATATGTTTTATGTGTCTTTCCATTTCATGTGCTCCTACTAGGTGTGTCTTTTTGTTTTCAATATGTTACTGTCTTGCACAAATAGCATTGCACTGTGTATCTTATGTGTTGCTTATCCTGTCTTCCCTAACCACTGTCTGACCTCTTAGATCATGACAGGCCTTTGGTCCCCGGGTCCTGATGCTAGTTCATGCTCACAATGTGAGTTTATTTTCTGCATGCTGTCTACTTACCCAGGATGGACACCTAGGTGACTGGGAATATGCCACCTTGGACAGCCTTACACCAGCCATCTGTATTGGTGGGGTGTTCTGAGTGTGTGTGCTGGTACCAGGACTTGAAGTCAGACCTGTGTGTGCTCACTTGGTTTTCTTGCTCACCACTGGCACTATACTAATTGAGCCATATCTCTAGGTGAGATTTCTGGGGCTAGTGGAGGAGTTTGTTAGGGCTGCAGAAACTTATTTCTCTCAGTTTGAGAGTCAGCAGCTTGGGATGGTAGTATCATCAGGTTGGTTTCTCCTCAGGCTTTGCCCTTCACTTAGAGAGGCTCACCTTCTCACTGTGTCCTCACATGGCCTTTCCTTTTGCCCACCTCTGGGTATCTGGGTGTCCCCATTCCATCTATAAGAAAACCGATCAGAATGAAGGCCCACTCTAATTAATGACCTCAATGTAACTTTCTAACCAAAGGTTCTAATTCCAAATAGAAACCTATTCTGAAGGACGGGGAGGGGGGGGGGGAGAGGGGGGCGGCGGGTATAAAGAGATTCAACTCAACAGACAAATTTTGGAAGAACACAATGTAGCCCCTATCAGATACCCAGATATGCCATGGATGAAACTGCCAGATCACAGGGCACGTCAAGACATAATGTGACAACATCATGAATAAGCCCAGCTATGTGTGAGACTCTGTGGAAGGGTGATTATTGTCTGAGGCCAGCCTCTAGCAAAAACCCTAAAAAGTTGTGTGACTCAAATATGTGTCTGCCTAGCAAGTGTGAGGTCTTGAGCTCAATCCCCAGTACTGAAAACAAAACAAAAAAAAAACCATAAAACAAGAAATAATTCCATAAGGAACAGATAAGGGCCCTTATGTCCTAGGCCCTATCAACATTTAGCAAGCTCTAACTTCCTACTTTTTTGCTAGTCCAATGATTATAATGTGATAGCATTGCTCAACAATTCATTTCATATACTTGTGAGATTTCAGGATTTCCTTTTCTGTAAATACCCTGTTAATATCCTTTGCTCTCATCTCTACTGAAGTTTTCTTTTCTTAGTTGTGGGTTTGTCCTTATACAATCAAGATAATAGTTTGATTGCTAATATCCTCACTTTTGACATCTGTCTATTACCTTTGTAATAGTCTGTCTATATCAGACTTCTCAAAACAGCAGAACTCCCTAACTGTGATGTATAATCAAAGTCATCAACTATTTTTTCTTCTGGTTTGCCCTTTTAAAGTGCAAAAAAATCCTTCCCTCAATTTAGATTACAAAGATAATCTTCTCTATACTCTTATTACATTTGCAGTTTTGCCTTTTAAATTTAGTTCATTAATCCACACAGACTGCCTTTGAATGTGACACTAAGTAGAGATGGATTTGTTTTGCCATCTAGCAAGTCCATTTTCCCCGTGCCACCTACCAAGCTATGTCTTTTCTCCACTGCACAAATAAAAGTGCCACTTTGAGCCAATACTCAGCTTCAAGCTGGGGAATATCTGAGTTTTCTGTTGGTCTATCTCTTCCTGTCATTGCCACCCTCATGTTGTTTTTAAACCCAGCTTTGTGCAGGTCTTAATAAACTGCTAAGTATCTCTATTACCCTTCTTTTTTTAAAGATTTATTTAACTAATCATGGTGATTTATTCTGTCATATCGATTGTGAAGTAAATTCTAAATCTTTGTGCTGCTCTTGATAGAATTTCATTAGAAAGAGATTGAGTCTTCTAATTGGAGACAATATTTTTGCAATATTTACACAAACCATCTTATATGTGGCTCTACTAGGTGTGCTTTACTAGGATCTTCTCTGGGTTTTTGTCTGTTTGGGTTTTCTAAATAGAGATTTTTATCCATTCCTGATTAAATGGTTTAGGGACTGAATGTTCACCATGAGGATTATTGTTTAAAACTGTGATGTAACCGGGCGCTGGTGGCTCACGCCTGTCATCCTAGCTACTCAGGAGGTTAAGATCTGAGGATCACGGTTCAAAGCCAGGCAAGAAAGTCAGTGAGACTCTTCTCTCCAATTAACCACCAGAAAACTGGAATTGGTGCTGTAGCTCAAGGGTAGAGCACTTGCCTTGAACTGAAGGGCTCAGGGACAGCACCCAGGCTCAGAGTTCAAGCCCCACTAATAGGGGGTTGGGGGGAGGGGGGGGGAAGAGACTGTGATGTAGAAATTTTCTAAGGCGCTGGGCGCTGGTGGCTCACACTGTAATCCTAGTTACTCAGGAGGCTGAGATCTGAGGATTTCGGTTCAAAGCCAATAAACCACTAGAAAACTGGAAGTAGCGCTGTGGCTCAAGTGGTAGAGTGCTCACCTTGAGCTGAAGAGCACAGGGACAGCGCCCAAGCCCAGAGGTTCAAACCCCATGACTGACCAAAAAAAGAAATTTTTTAAGGCTTCAGACACTTTCATATATACCAAAAGAAAAGTAATTATGTGACATGATAAATCAGATTTACTTGATTATGCATGTTTTATGATGTGCATATGGAGCTTTTATACACATAAACATGACCTGGCACACAATAAAATAGTTCACAGACTTTGTTGCTGTTATTTTATATTTTTGTACATTTGCTAATGGATTGGTGGTTTAAAATAAAGATTATTGTTCTTTATTAATTAATTAATCTTGACTCTTCCGTTATTCTGAAAGTCTTCTGTTGATTCAGCTTGTTTTCCCAGGCATGTGAGCCTATCTTCTGTAACTAATGCTGAGTTTATCTCTTTCCTTATCATCTTTGAACCTATAATTTTTTTTCCTAATAGCTTTCACTAGGACCTGGACTCATGACCAAAGTGGTAACAAAAGTATTAGATATCCTTTTCATACTCCTGATCTTTAACTTTCTCTCTTGTTATTTTTATTTGGGTTTTATGGTTTGGTAAGTCAAGGAAATTCCCTCCTAAGTCTAGGCTTCTAAGATATTGTACATAAATAATAAAACTACTGTTTTTGCATTATTTGAGATAATAGCTTTGATTTTTCTTATTTTGGCCATTATTAATTAATTAAAATGATTTTGTTGTTTTGTTTTGTTTTGGTGTTGCTAGGGATTAAGCTCAGAGTTTTAAATATACTAAGCATATGATCTACCACTGAGGTACACCTCCAGCCCACAATGAATAATTTTCCTTAAGCCAAACTCTACTTGCATTGAAGGAATACACCACATGTGTTTGTCAGCCAGTTCTTTTTAATATACTTCTGTAGTAACTATTTCAGTCAGCTCATACTTTATGTTAGATTATTGCACCTGTGATCACAAGTGAACTGGGCTTGTGATTTTTGCCTACATTGTTTGTATCTGGTTCCAGAATCAACATTTCATTTGTTTAACCAAAGTTCCTGGAAAGATTGTGCCCTTCTACTTTCTAGGGCAACTCTGTCTTAGAAGTTTGGTAGGATTCATTTGGAAAGTAGTTGCCTGGAGCACCTTGGCAAGAGAAGGAGGCCAGCCACCATTTTAATTTCCTTAGTATTTCAAGTTCTGTTACTCTGTTTCTTCTGCGCCCTCCCTGCCGTGTTCACGTGCCACAGTATTTTATCTTTGAAAATCCTGAATGTACTCTGAGGCAAGTCAAATCCTCTTTTTTAATCAATTCCTACACCTTAATACCACCATTACCCCTTCCTCATTGGCCAGATAACTCTCTGTGCATGTTATTTATCTTTATCAGGGTTATTTCTATGCACTATTTTTATAGCACGTTATCTTTATGTGCTCCTATTTTGTTTTGGGTGTGTGTGTGTGTGTGTACGGGGATTTGAACACAGGACCTGACACTGCTCCTTAGCTTATTACTTGAGCCAAGCAAGGCTCCACTTCTAGCTTTTTGATGATTAATTGGAGGTAAGTCTCACAGATTTTCCTGCCCAAGCTTTGAGCCATAATGCTCAGATCTCAGCCTCCTGAGTGCCTAAGATTACAGAGGTGAGCCATGATGCCCGGCTTATGGACTCCATTTTTATTTAGCAATGGTAATATATTATCATGTATATGACCTTTATCTTGCATGCAGTCTGTCTTATAAAAGTAGAGATAATAATGCTAATAAAGTACTGGCATTTCCCTCTTCTCTTGTACACAACTATGGAAGATTAAAAGCTTTGCACATGGAGACTTTGAGCTTTGTATGAGCATTCCCCTTCATCACCCAAATCCCTCCCTGCCCAGTTTGTTCCCAAAGTGTCAGTTCATCATAGAAGGAGAGCATGGGTCCGGAGGACGTATTCATCCCTAGGTCCCAACTTTATTCCCTAAATGCCTCCTCAGCAACAGCCTATTAGGAATGAAAGGGAGTGCCAACAGAGAGAGCAATGGACAAGCCCTCCACCTTCAAGGTGAAGGACGGAGAACCACATCTGAGCTGAGTCAGATTTCTAGCCTTGCCTCTGTGCCTACTACAATCTGCCTTCCCAGACAGCACTGAGCATTCACTGCCCAAAGCTACTATGAAGCATTCCTACTTGTATCAAAGGGCAGTAGTTGGAAGATTTACAAATTATGGTATCTTCACTTTTTTACCCATTTTTCTAAGAACCTTCCCTTTCCCATAACCAGGATTGAGACTGTAAAAAACGAGAGATAGTCAAATCTTAAAAAAAAAAAAAAAATCAAGGTGCTCCTGGCCTGATAAGAAAGCCAAAGCCAAGCTGAAGCTTAGAGCCAGGAAAAGCTGGGATGGAAGCAGACTGAGGGAAGGTGCAGGGGCTGCTTAACGATGAGCTCCACCTCGGGTCCAGCCCTGTCACTGTCATCAACACTCATCTGCCCTACGGGAAGTGAGCCTGGTTCACGGTCACAGCCCCAACACTTAGCAGCTAAGGGATTAGGTGACAGCTGTCCCTGAGCCCCAGTCTCCATTTCTGAAGGGGGCTGACAGCACCTGCTCTGGTGTGCTCCTCATGAGGAGTCAGTGAGAGGCTGTGTGTGCTGCTGTGAGCCTGGGATCCTGCACTTCCTTTGTGTCTGGTGCCATGCCCTTTGCTTCTGATTGCAGGTAGTCACCCCAGATGGGCGTGGGAAGAACCGAGCTAAGTGGGGCCTCCTGAAGAGTATCCAGTCTACCCTCCAGAAGCGCTTCTAAGCCCCGAGAGATGCACCACTAAATACATATATATGCGTAGATGTACCGATATGTATTTTTCTCACCATATTCTTCAAGGAGGTTCTAGATGCATGTTCCCAGTTCCTCTGAGCTTTCCAACCAGAGGCTGAGAGCCAATAAAAGGAAATGTCTGACATCATGCCCTGTTGTTTGCTTGTTATGAAGCAACTAAGTCAAAACAGCAACTCTGTAAGTCCCATCAAGGCTCAGAGTTCCAGGATGCTATATATATATAGTTATCTGGAACTAATACCTGGGTGATAACAAGAACACTCAGTCTGCAGCCAGGACCCTGCGTGAGTGAGTGAGTGAGTGAGAGTGTGAGTGTGTGTGTGCGTGAGTGTGTGTGTACAGGGTCTGGGTACTATCCCTTAGCTTTGTCACTCAAGGCTGGCACTCTGCCATTTGAACCACACCTCACTCTGGTTTTCTGCCAATCAACTGGAGATAAGTGCCTCATGGACTTTCCTGCCCATGCTAGGTTTGAGCTGTGGACCTCAGGACTCAGCCTCCTGAGTGGCTAGGATTATAGCGTGAGCCACTGGTGCTCAGCCTGAGTATATATTTTAATACTGGCTTCAAGAGCTTGGGATCTGCTTCCCTATCAAGTCCAGAATGGCTTTCATGATGACTGAACCGAAAACCTCCCTTCCCAAAACTCTGACTGCATGATCTGAGGTCTGCCTCTGGGCCAGAAAGGAGTGGTACCCTCTCTCTTCTCCTCACTCCTCCTGTGCCCCACAGCACACTGGGGGCAGCAGAATCCTAACAGCATTACAAGAACAGATTCCCCAGGGAGCTTTGTCTTGATCCTCTTACTGTAAATGACAACCTGGAGCAGCCATCAAATGTGATATTATCAGGCAATCGGTTCTGTACAAAGCTTCAGAATCATGATCAGCACGGGAAGCAAATTAAATGACAGGCCAGCAGGGATTTTACTACTGATAAAAATTAAGCTTAAAAACTTTTAACTGTAGGAATATTGCATTATAATGATCCCAATACCTGTATCACTAACAAAGACTAAGCTGGAATTAAGTAAGTCACATCACTGTGATCTTGCTGCTCCAGAGAACAGGCAAACTTGCCTTCAGTGACTAAGACAGCTCGATTGTCTGAGAAACTCAATGAACTATATATAGCTGAGCCTTCTATCAGGGCAAGAGAATCCCCAAAGACCTGTCAGAAGGCAAACACCAAGCAAGAAGATGCTAAGATCCTGGGATGAGCAGAGCCAGCTAGATCCCTGGCTTCCTGCTTTGGCCCCAACTCTGGCTTCCTGGAAAAACTATCCAAAGCATGGGGATGTGCTGTCTTTCTAGCAGAGAATACATGCTCAGAGTTGCAAGTTCACACACACACACACACACACACACACACACACACTGCAACACACACACAGACGCTTGTGTACACACACATCTGTACCCACTTGCACTCACTTCCTGACCATTTTTATATCAGTGACAGTAGAGGAAGGAGGGAAGGAGGGGAGGGAAGGGGGGAAGGAGGGAAGGGGGAAGAAAGGAGGGAGGGAGGGAGAGAGGGAGGGAAGGAGGGAAGGAAGGAAGGA